CGCCGCCGCCTGCCTCGGCCTCCGCCGTCTGCCCGCTCCGACCTGCAGCCCGGCCCAGCGCGTGCCCAGCGAGGCGCGGCCCAGACACCCGTCGCCCCCGAGCCCCCACCCGACACCGCCGCCCGCGGCACGTGACTCGGGAGCCCAGCCGTCACGTGACGCGGAGTCCGCGCCGCGCGGCGATGGGTTCCTAGGGTGCGCCTGGCCCTGCCCAGCCCTCGTGTCCCCCTGGACCCAGGCTGCGGCCCGCGGCGTCCTCCGGGAAGCCTTCCTGGGTTGAGGGAGCCAAAACGAAATCCACAACTCTTGTCTTCCTCACTGCCCTGGAGTTGAAGAGAGGAGCCAAGGGCTATTGATTCGCAAAGAGCCCGTAGCAGGCCGACTGGAGAGATCTAGAGTTTGTCTGGTTTGGGAGAGGGAGCTTGTGCTTAGGAGCCTCAGTTTCTCCTATGTAACTTTTTAAGAAAATTATATTCGGTAATACCAGGGATTGAACCTAGGACCTTTGCACGGAGCTACATCGCCTGTTCTGTTTATTTTTGATCTTGAGATAGAGCCCAGCAAAATTGCCAAGGGCCTAGATTGGGCTGCAATTTGTAGTCCTCCTGCCTGTGCTTCCGAGTGTGGGATTACAGAAAGGAGTCGCCACCACTGGATCATAAAGCAATGCTCTAGTTGTGCTCTGCACACCACTCCCCTGTGATCTCGCTCTCCCTTCGAGGAGTCCTGCAAGAATGAAAAGAAGTGAATGTGAAAGGCTTTGAAAAAAGGGAAACGACTATGCAAATATGCTACCTAGCAGGAGAACCCTTTTGTTTCACAGTTCTTTCAACAATGATTTCTCTAAAGTGCCTTGAACTTCTCGGGATGCAAAAATTCTTTTACCGGTTTCTTCGGAAGGCACTCCGGAACGTGCACTCTTGAGTCCCTGCTTCCTAACACTGCTGCTTGCTGCCTAGGCTCAGCTCTGGGATTCTGTGCTTCAGATCCGGACGTCCTGGGTGCTACCTGAAGCGGCCCTGTTCCTGCTTCCAGGAACTGCATTGGCAGTGTCTGTTTTGCACATTTGCCTTTCCTGCAGCCAGGGCTTTTGCTTCAGTGTTGTCACCTCACTCACTCACAGGCAAGAAGACAGCAGTAGTTAAAGAGAAAAGGTTCCAGCGCTATGGGAGGCTGAGGCAGGATGATTAAGAGTTC